TTACACGGTGGTAAAGGTACGATTAGGTTGTAACTGACCACAGTTACCATAGCCGTATGGCTGCAGAATCATACCTATTTTGTTTTTCTTAAACAATTCTTAATGATTTTCAGCAGTTCTGAGACGTAGCAAGTTGCAATTAAACCAAGTCCCATCGATTGAGCTTGCAAAATGCACAGCAGTCTGACTTTATGAGGCTAATTTAGCAGCATTATTTTTTGCATCAATTACAGGCCACCATCCAGGTTTTTTTTAAATTCTCACTTGCAATCAGTCAAGGTGACAAAACTCATGGATTACATGTTTACATAAAAAAAGTTGTCTTTCTAAAGGTTTGTGCAGATTGGTGACAAATTAAAGGAAAAACCTGCATGAATGAGTGGAGAAACATAAAGAAAAAACACTAAATGAAGGAATATCTTTAAGAAAAATGGTGTCAATGCTTCCATTAGAGTTCCAGTAACTCGGTGAATCACCTTTCTTTCTTTTTTAAAGATCCAGTGTGTAACATTTAGGAGAATCTATGAGCAGAAATTGAATATAATATTCATAGGTGTGTTTTTATTAATGTATAATTACCTGAAAATAGTAATAGTTACCTTAGAATGAGCTGTTTTTATCTACAGAGGAAGCAGCTCCTTACAGAGGCCTTCATGTTTCTACAGTAGCCCAGAAGGGACAAAACCAAACACTGGCTCTCGATACAGCCTGGTTGCAACCATTAAATCGCACGCGCTGGTCTTTTAACTCACCGTTCCTCCAGCGGTTGAGTTCAGCCTCCAGCCTCTGGATGATGGTTTTCAGGCTCTTGTTCTTCTCTTTCTCCTTCTCATATTTCTTCTTCCACTCCTCAGCCGTCAGCTCCAGGTTCACAGACACCGTGTTCTTGATGGTCTTGGCTCTAAACAGACGCAGACGGTACAGAGTGAAGTTAAATATTCTAACGGGCAGACGCGGAGGGACAACCAACAATCCTCTCTGAAGATGACGACGCGCATTTGAATGCCTCTTCCTGTTTTTGTTGACCAAACATCTGCTGCAAAAACATCCACTCAAAAATGTCCAAAAAGGAGCCACAAACAGTGCAATTTGTAAATAAAACATTATACTACAAGTAGTCGAAATACTCATTCTACATCCTCAATATTCTGTGGCACTAAAGCTCACTTCTTTTTCTCTTTCTGTTTCTTTATAGAATGTAAACCTATAATAATTCTATTATATATTATAATTAGTAATTATAACAACAAATAACAATGAATTAAAATTAAAAAATCTTTTCATTAATAAACTGAAACACCTCCTAGGTTTCCACTAGTGCTTTCTGGTAAAATAAAACATCACTGCAATGGGCAGTCCACTTTAAATGGACATAAACTGTGTGAGTCTGACATGTTGTTTTCCTCTAATGGTGGTAATGTCATTTTGGACTGTACCTCTTCATTTCCTGTCAGTTCCTCCTCAGCAGAGGGCAGATGGCTGCACAGTAATCAGTCATCTGCCCATCACTGCTGCTACTCTGTGGTTTATTACATTAGCAGCCTGGTCACACAACATGTCATTAAAGCTGTAATATGAAACATTTCCGCATTAAGATATCTCTAAACTCTAGAGCTATGTTCTATATGTAGTTGAGTTGTTTCTTAGATCTTGGTGCTTTTTAACGTAGTCATCGGACGTTCAGTGTTTTTAGCGGTTTTAATCAGCTGGTCCGTTTTTTTGGAGAGGAGGAGACCTCTGTGGATAATTGGGCTCCCGTAGAAACCTCCTGAACCATGAACACTGAAGGACTCCTAACCGGGAGCTGACTGCAATGATGGCAATGGTGATGAAGACAACAATCCCCATTTGTCTTTTGTCATTGTTTTGATGTGAGAGATAATAAGAGAAAGGAAAAAGAGAAAATACAGGATATTGTGGCTTACTCTTCATTTTAGAAGACAAAAAAAGGAAGGCAACATGAGCCTGGACTGCTGTGCCACAACAAAACAAAACCAAAACAAGGTGTGGAGGGATCTATAAATAGAAAAACAGCCAGATGCACAGTGGGAAACTCAAAGCCATCTGGTTGCTAGTTCTCAGCACTGACGTCAGTGAGTCAACGTTCACATTCACACACTTACACAGACCTCTGTAGGGCTTTGACTCACTGCTGCCCTCAGTGAAAAACTCATTACTGGACTGTACAGTTTGTTAAGTCAGTTAGCGCCTTCCTCTCAAGAAGCGTCACACAACTCTAGCATCTGAAAACCTGCATCAATCTGTGATGCTGGAAAAGTTCAGTGGTGCAACAGATTTTAAAATTTCCATCCAGCTGCTTTTATGCACATTTTCAATTTGCCACAAATGTCACTAGCTAATAAAACTGGGAGCTACTACTATCAGTTTCAACTCTGAATTAATCATGACATATGAAGCCTGTGACAAAAAACATCAGATGTGTGGAGCTCCCGGTATTCGTGGATGGAAACGCACTTAAATTTGCATTTTCTTCTGCTGATTTTCCTAAAATTCGGTTAGAATTTGCACTACATTTGAACGGAAACCTGTCGGCTGGTGTTCCTCTTTAAAGAACTGTTCTGTACTGCTCTGTTCTACTGTCACAGGATATAAACAACTTTTAACTGCCTTCAATTTCAAAAAAGTGAGAGCTAATATTTTTTCAATTCCAAGAAAGTTAATTCTCTCAAAACGTGGCTGAAAAATTTTCTTTCAGCTGTGCGTTGCATTGTGGGACCCTTTAGTGACCGTCACTTACCTCTGCCCGAACATGAGCGTGGACTTGGTCTCGGCCTCGTTGTAGATGGACGGCGAGCAGCAGATGATGATGGTGGTGCGACAGTTTCCCCCCAAAGAGTCCTGCAGGATCCGCGTCATCTTGCTGTCTCTGTACGGCACGTGGGTTTTCTGAAAAGTAAAATGTATCACTGTCACGCATTCATCCTCAAATATGCGGAGGTAGAGGTGACTGAGAGCAACGTACTGTTCCCTCGGCTAGAGCTGAGATGACGTTTCCCAATGCTGACAGAGATTTGTTGATGTTCTTCGCCTCATCCAGCACGGCTCCCTCTGCTCCCGTCTTACTGACCTGTTCAAACAGCCAGCAAGCACATCACACATTAGCTTCATAATTCATTAAACTACACTAAATATGGACTCCATCTTTATGATCTTAGCTAAGACTGACCTTTTCGCTGCCCGCAAGGTCGACCAGGTAGAGCTTCCCCGACAGCTTCTTCTCCGTCTCTATGTTTTCCTGCTTGATGTTGATGAGGAAGATGCTGTGGCTGCGGGAGCTGTGCTCATTCATGTCTAGAAGATAATTAAAAATAAAAAACAGAATTACTGTTACTTACTTAAATATTGCGCTTTTTAATCCACTACATGTATCTGACAGCTTTAGTTAAGATCCTCTCCAGACATTTATAAAGAAATATATACAAATAGTCTGCTTGGACTAATAATGACTGTAATAAGTGTGTCTGATATGTTTACTTCTGCAAAAAAATATATAATTTCTACATTAAAATGCTTAAAAGGGCATCTACTACTTTTTTTAGAGTCTATAAATAAAAGTTTTCCTGCTGTACACAAGATGTCTCCTACTTCCTAAAACTCTGACTCAGCCTCGGTACATGGGTCGCCAGCTAACCGGGCACCCTTCATTTTTGATTATAATATAAACTATCTATAAAATATGACACTTAGTCAGATGATAGAAAATGGCTCCCTTAAATAAAAGAGGGAAAATCCAAAATCCAGAATAGGATTTTAGTATCAGAACTTTGTTTTCTTCTCTCCTCTCTCATTAATCATGTCACAACCCCTCAGATCGATCTTGTGACCCTTTGGAAGGGCCCAACCCTTAGGTTGGGAACCACTGGACTAAGCTATAAAGTAATTAAAACTAACTCAACCCTCAACATTGATGCATCGGTATTAACTTATAATGTCACATAGAATCATATATCAGTCAAAGGGGGACATTATTCTGCAGGAAAAATACTTATACTATATATTATACATTTCTACTTGAGCAGGATTTAGTCTGCAGTGCTTTTACTTGTAATCGAGTAGTTTTACATTATTGTTTGACTACTTTTACTTCAGGATCTTTACAGACAAGATACATACTAGTCACTGCCACGTGCCGATTGGCTTTGCCCTCATCGATGACGTCCATCACCTCCTCTGGACTGGACACAAAGCGCTCAGTGCAACCCTGACACAGAAAAAGATCAGGACCATGTGTTTAACTGGAATTATTAAATCGCAAGTCTCCTCCCCACCTTCATCACTGCCACTCCTCTCTAAACCAGTCCCCCAAGATTATAGAGCTCCACCCATCAGATCAGATTTCCCTTTTTTCCCTCCTAACCACACCGAGAAGAACAAAGAGAACCTGCTGTGAGTTTAACACGGACTTGTTCCTCTTTAAAATATGATTGAATGTGTTACATACTGCTTTGAAGTTACAATTTGTGTTTGTGCTGTATTTAAGAAAGTGTTCTAGTTGTTTGTTTGTAATTATTTCAATTTATAACACTTCTTCAATATTCTTTTTGTATAGAAAAAATCATCCACATCCACCAAACACCTGTGCAAACCATAACCTACCCACCGGCTGGAATAAACTGTTGAGACTGATTTCTGGATCCTGTGTTTGAATGTGCACATCACATAGGATGTTCAGTGAGCCATCGCCACCAACGCAATAGCTTTTTCAAGCAGGATAATGGTGACTGTTAAAACAAAGTGTAATAGTAGCACAACTAAAGAGGAGTCAGAAAGTAGACGAGGGATAAATAAGGGATAATGGACACCAACGGCCATTATCCCTAACGTGTACTGTGTTTTTGAGTTAGGGTTAAAAGCTCCTAAAAAAGCAAGTAAGTGGAGCTTCTGTTGAAATTGTTCTGTTAACTGAATCACTCATATTTCCCAGTTGCCCAGTCTATAATGAATCATATGTTGTGATGAATGAAAACCACAAGTACATCACAGTGATAGCATTACTGTGTAATCTCATCTGCTGCCGTTTAGCTGGCAGGAAGAGAGTTCTGATGATTATTACAGATACCAGAGGATATTAAATCCATGAATTTATATCAAAGTCTTGTACAGTTCACCAACCTTGACATAGGGCACTCTGTTTTTGTCTTCGTGCACAGCGAGGTTCGTCTTCGACACTTCAAACAGAACAGAAATTCAAGTAAAAAATTCCTTTTATTGAAATATTCATCGTGCAGAACCCTCCACTGATCCCTTCATTGTACCTTAAATGCTATAAACTTGAGGTAAATGGTATTTCTTACCGTCCAGCAGGTCTCTGATCTTGTCCAAGTAGATTTCAAAATAGGAAACCTGCAGAGAGAAACTCCAAACTTAAGTCAACAGAGGAAATACTAATTTTAAAGAATACTTCAATTAACAGCCAACAATTGGGACACTGCTTTTAATTGTTTTACCGGTATGCATGTACTT